TCTCTTCCAGAAAAGACAGGGCATGGATTCAATAGCCCAAGCTGAGACCTCTATAAAGCACTACAGGTTAAAGAAGTTGGAAGAACCTTTGGGCCACAGAGAGCCCTCTCCACCTACAGCATATTTCTCTGCCTTCTCAACAACAGGAACTCCTACTTAACCTTCAAAGACCCAGCTCCTGCCTCCCCTTTCAGGAAAACTTTCAGTCCTCTAGACTCCTCCAACCCTGTGCTTCTCCATCATGAGGAAGTGAGTTTTTTTTCCCTTCAAGACTCTTGAATGAGCCCCCATGTGATGCCTCTGGGTGGGTCCTATTCTATGGCTTGTTGGGAGAATAAATGGCCGTACATATTATAATTGGGGAGGTATGCTGAGGTTGGCTCACTACTGCTGCTGTCCACCAGGGGGCAAGCATGGCTTTTACTTGGGGCTGTCTGCGGGAGGACGGTCCGCCTGCCTGTGTTATCTTTGTGATGCTTGATCACACATGTCCCTGTTTGATCTAGTGGGTGTCTGTCTGTCTGTCTGCCTGTGTCTGAAGTCTCTCTCCACCCATTGCATGTGTCTATCAGTGTTTTTAAATTCCTAGGGCAGGGTGTAGGAGTGAGTCTGTTAGAGAGAGAGAGAGAGAGAGAGAGAGAGAGACTCTCTTTATCAGGGACTACCTGATGTTCATGCAGGAGGCATTGTGAGTGGTGTGTGTGTGTGTACACATGCAATTGCCTGCTGAAAGAGGGTTGTGTATTTTTGCATCTGTGTATGTGTGTTTCTAGTCATTTTTCAGTGTTTTTCTTGGCTTTGTCGGGCGCAGACAGAAGTGTTTGGGTCTGGGGTCTGTTGGCATGTTGCAACGGTCCACATTGTCTGTGTGTCTCTACAGCTTTCCGTCTGCTGTGTTTGCCTGTTGTAGGTGGGCAAATATTTTTTTTCTTTGTCTGTCTGGGTCCATGTCCATCTGTGCTTCTGCTCACCCGATGGGGAGGGAATCTTTAAATCTTTGAGTCTCTATTTACTGTGTGTGTTTGTGTGTATCTTTGGGGCTGTTTTCCTTATGAACATCTATGCGACTGTTTCAGCCATTTGTGCTTGTATTTTTATGAGGGTCTTTGTATACAGAGTGTGTGCGTGCGTGTCTGTCTTACGGGTTGAATTGCATCCCTCCAAAAATTCACATGTTGAAACTCTCATGCCCAGGACCTCAGAACGTGACCTTATTTGGAAACACGGTCTTTACAGATGGGATTAGTTAAGGATCTCGAGATGAAATCAGCCTGGATTCAGGATAAGTCCTGAACGCAATGATGGGTGTCTTTATAAACGGAAAGAGAGGGAGACTTGGAAGGCGCGGAGAAGAACATCACGTGGCGATGGAGGCAGAGATCGGAGGGACGCGTCTATAAACCGAGGAACGCCAGCAGTTGCCCGCCACCGCTAGAAGCTGGAAGGAGCAAAAGCAGATTTCCCCTGGAGCCTTCGGAGGGAGCGTGGCCCTGCCAACACCTTGACCTCAGACTTCTGGCCTCCAGAACTGTGAAAGAATAAATTTCTATTGTTTCCGCCGCTTCGTTTGTGGTGCTTTGTTAGAGCAACCCCAGCACACTAATGCACTGTGTGCATGGGTGTGCATGTGTGCGCATGCGTGTGCACGCCCCCCAGGCGGCCTGAAGTAACAGACAGCCGGCACCAGAGGACTCCAAGTGAGGGCCCTGGGAGGCTGCCCTGTGATCTTTGACCCTCTGTGCCAGCACATTGGGGTACCAGCTGTTCCCTCAACCCCAACTCCCTGGCCATCAGCAGGCCACTTCAGGGCACGCCTGCGGCCCTCGGGGATGACCAAGAGCCATCATCATCCTCCTCTCCACCACGAGCAAGGAGTAGCCTCCCCCATCGAGATATCCTGAGGAATCAGTTACCCACTCTCTGATAAGTACAGCGGTCAGGCATTACCTGGACTTGATCCAAGTCCCAACAACTTTCCAGATGCCCCCACCCCACTTCCCTCTCCCTCTGAGCATAATGAGCCCCTTGAAGCTCTCACAAGCCACCGCAATCAACCTTATCTGCATCTCCCCATTTTACCAACACAACTCCATTCAGCTCATCACAGAGGAGCCACCTTAGGTGTCTCCTCCTCCGGGAAGTCCTCCCTGACTACCTTCCCCCAACCCAAGCCTGGGCGAGATACGTATTTGCTCCCGCCACATCCTTGGTTCCCTTATCTTGAAATTTATCACTGTGTGTCGTCATTGCCTAGTTGGTTGTTAAAATCCCCTATTCAATTGAACACACTTTGCAGACAAGTCTGTGCCTGACTCACTCCTACCATCTGGGGCTGAGGTCAGTGACACTCGGGAACTCCAAGAACAAGTCCATGACCTCAACCTCACCAACACCATGGAACTAGACAGCCCAGGTGACCACCTTAGGTCTTAGGCGTGACTCATCAGGGAAGTCGTGGGGAGGGGCAGAAACCTCCCACCATTGTCCCTGATCCCTTGCGACTCCATTGCCTCCCCTAACACCCCCGTCCCAGCTTCATGGCCCCTCAAACATGGCAAACACTTTGCTCGGGGCTCCAGAGGCTATATCCTGCACCTGGCCAGGTGTGCGCAAGTGCCACTTGGGCATTGGCTTACCTGAGTTTGGGGAGGGAACTGGGACATGCCAAGGTCCACACCAGCCAATAGAGAAATGGTTAAGAGGGTGGCTTTGCCCGCTGATACATACTACTGATAGCTCTGTGACCTTGGGCAGGTGATTTCATCTTTCTCTGGTTCAGAGAGGTGATGTTATTCCCAAAATTTTACAGCAGCTGGGCACAGTAGCTCACGCCTGTCATCCTAGCACTTTGGGAGGCCGAGGTGGGAGGATTGCTTGAGGCCAGGAGTTCGAGACCAGCCTGAGCAAGAGTAAGACCCCGTCTCTACCAAAAATAGAAAAATCAGCCAGGTGTGGTGGCGCACTCCCGTAGTTCCACCTACTCAGGAGGTTGAGGCAGGAGTATCACTTGAGCCCAAGAGTTTGAGGTTGCAGAGACCTACAGTGATGCCACAGTGCTCTACCTAGGCTGACAGAGCGAGACTCTGTCTCAAAAAAATAAAAAAACTTACAGCTAGTTTTACAGGGGCAGAGAGGACCGTAGAATCCTCCTGGAGCCTTAGCTACCATGCTCTGTAAAGACCCTATTTCCAAATAAGGTCACATTCTAGGGCTTAGGGTTTCGACATGTGAATTTGGGGCAAGGGGCATACCATTCAACCTGGAGACACACACACACACACACACACACACACACACACACACTCTGTATACAAAGGCCCTTATAAGATACACATGCAAGTGGCCAAAACAGGCACACAGATATTCATGAAGAAAACATCCCCAAACATACACACAAACGCCAACGGCCACGAAGCTGGTTGTGACAGCGAATTAGCTAACGTGTAGGAAGCGCTTACTGTCATGGCGCCAGGCAAGGCTGAGTGCTTGACATGGCGCGCTGTTTCCATTCTTACTGTGGTACGGTGACATTTGAAAGTACTATTTTTCCCCAAATTAACCTAAAGCACACGGTCCTTCCCCAGGATTGGCTACTCATGCCAGCCCATCTCTTTGCTTACTAAGGGTTATTCTGGCCGTGGTGGTGGCCAGGGGCTGGGGGAAGAGGGAAATGGGGAGTTGCCTTTTCATGGGTACACAGTTTCAACTTTGCACAATGACAAAGTTCTGGAGGTGGGTGGTGGATGACAGTCGCACAACGTTGCAAATGGACTTAACGCTACTCAACCGCACTTTTAAAAATGGTTAGGCTGGTAAATTTTAGGTGATGTGTATTTTACCACAATTTTAAAAATAAAGGCTATTGAATAAAAAAAAAATCTGGCCATAAATAATCTATGCGGAAGAACATTCGGCAGTTTGAATGTGCAGGCTATTTTGTTGTAACAAAATAGAACAGGGTTCCTCACTGTAGACGAGAACAGTTAGACAGGAAATAATTAGAGCTAAACTCTGAGGAGGTCCAGATATGGATGGATCCCTTTACCCTATCAGCCTACACAGATAGCTTCAGGGTGATATAAGAAAAGACGGTTCCCTGGATCCCCCCAGAGCCCGGGGTTTTTGTTTGTTTAGAGACAGGGTCTTGCTCTGTCACCCTGGCTAGAGTGTAGCAGCATCATCATAGCTCACTGCAGCCTCAGACTCCTGGGCTCAAGTGATCCTCCTTCCTCAGCCTCCCGAGTAGCTGGGACTACAGGTGTGTGCCACCACGCCTGGCTAATTTTTCTTATTTTTCATAAAGATGGGGTCTCGCTATGTTGCCCAGGCTGGTCTCGAACTCCTGGCCTCAAGTGATCCTCCCGCCTCAGCCTCCCAAAATGCTGAAATTACAGGTGTGAGCCACGCACCCAGCTCCCCTTCCCATCTTTCTTCCCCACTCCTTCCCAGCTGCTTTTTGGAATCATCTCCCAGATAAACTTTGCACCCCCACATCCTTGTCTTGGGGGTCTGCCTCAGGGCCAGGGGGAGGGGCAAACCAACCTAAAACAGTGACCGTATAATATATCATCCAAATTAGGACACTTTGGAGAATGAAAAGTATCATGATTAATGACACCAGGAAAACAACCAGAACGACCCCAGGCAAACCAGGATGTACCCTCCGCTATCTCACCCAGGATTTAGGGGAAAACAGCCAGGTGTCTTGCATGTGCCAACAGCAGGGGTAGAAGTTGCCAAGGAACCAAGGGCCAAGCAGAAACAATGACATCTCAGCAGGCGGCAGTGTGATAAAAGACAACCACTGAGATCCAGCAGTCTCAGCAAAGCCCCTGAATTTAAACAGGATCTTAAGGAGAACTGGCTGAGATGAAGTTCCTACCACTCAGCAAAACTGAGAGGGCAGGTGGACTTGAAGGGGAGACAGGGATCGGTGAGTGGGCGTTTCATGATGCTCCCTCCTCATTTTCTCCTTCTAGGTCCTCCTCAATGACACCTCCATTCATTTTCACTGTTTTATTACAAGTAACCACTTGAGCCCTGCCTTCTTGAGGGGACCCAAGAGGAAATCAGTGTGTTATAAATTAACCACGGCAGGGCATCATCCCAGGAGCAATGCCAGCTGGACGCTGGCCTCCTGCAATCCATCCCGAACTCTCCACCCGCCCGGGACCTGTCACAGCCCCTGGCCCCGCTGCCTGCTCGCCCTGGGCTCGGAGCCTGGAGTTTCTCATCTCTCTCTGCTGGCGCACCAAGGCTCAGCAGTATTCGGAATAGTCTTCTTCCACATAGTTGGAAGGGAACCAGCCAACCTGAAAAGAGATGAGAGATTCATCAGGGCAACCTCCTTCCTGCTCCTCAACACACCACCTCAGGGCCTTTGCACCTGCTGTTCCTTTTTCTACCCCAGAAAAATACATCACCCAAACATACACAAGGCTGACCTCCCTCCCCCATCACCTCCTTAAAGTCTCTGCTTATGTGGCACCATATTGGTAAGGCCTTTCTAACCACCCTATTTAAAATTGCAAGCCCCACCCACCCAACACTTCTTATCCACTTTCCTTGCTTGATTTTTCTCCATAGCACTTATCCCCAACTGATTGATTATATATTTTGCTTATTTACAGGCTTGTTCACCGTACCCCTGCCCCAACTACAATGTGAGGTTTACAAAGCGGGGAGGTGTCTGTCTTATACAGCACTGAATCCCAAAGGCCTAGAACAGTTCCTGGCATGCAGCAGACACTTAATAAACATTAGTTAGATGGATGGATGGATGGATGCATGGGTGGGGATTGGAGGGATGGATGCATGGATAAATGGATGGACGGATGGGTAAATTAATGGACAGATTAATGAATTGATGGGTAGGTGGATGGATGGATGGATGGATGAATGGATTAATGCATAGATTAATGGATTGATGAGTAGCTGGTTGGATAGATAGATAGATTAATGGATGGGTGGATTAATGAATGCATGGGTGGGCGAATGGGGATTGGATGGATGGATGCATGGATAAATGGATGGATGGGTGAGTGAATCAATGGATAGATTAATGGGTTGATGGGTAGGTGGATGGATGGATGGATGAATGGATTAATGCATAGATTAATGGATTGATGAGTAGCTGCTTGGATAGATAGATAGATTAATGGATGGGTGGATTAATGAATGCATGGGTGGATGGATGGGGATTGGATGGATGGATGCATGGATAAATGGATGGATGGATGAATTAATGGACAGATTAATGATTGATAGGTAGGGGAATGGATGGATGCATGCATAGATGGGTGAATGAGTGCACAGACATAGATGAATGAATGGATGGATGGATCGATGTTGGACGGATGAGTGGATTAATGGATTAATGGGTTGGTGGATGGATTGAAAGAAAAGTAGATGAATGCATGCATGGATGGATAGATGAACAGATGCATGGAAGGATGGATGGGTGGATGGACAGACACACAGGTGGACATGAACAGATGCATGGATGAATGAATGATTCGTGGATGGATGGATGGATGAATCATTTACATCCCAGACCTTCCTCAACACTCCAAAAGGCTCCCTCAAACCCCAATTGCCCTCCACAGCTCACTAAACTTACCCCCCAATGTCCTTAACAAAACTGCTCATCTAAGCAATCATCTAGATCATTTTCTGACATGTGTTTCTCCCAGTAGAATGTAAGCTCTAACCAGTGTCCCTATCTTCATTCAACAGATATTTTTGAGAAATCATTATGAGCAAGACTGAATTCTAGAGGCTGGGAATTCATCAGTGGATGAAAAAAAAAGAAGGTTCTCTGCCTTTGTGGAACAAAACTAAGAACTAGGTTCGAAGCCGATTTGAAGAGTCTTGCAGACCATTCGACTCCTGACAGTCTGAATTCAAACAAGCGAATGCCCTGGTTACCCAGCCCCGCCTGCCTCACCCGGCCATAGATCTCCCCTCGCCACCAGCCTTGTTGTCCCTTCTTGTTGAGGATCTTGATGATGTCACCCTCCTTGAGGGACAGCTCCGACCGGTCCCGGGCACAGAAGTCATAGCGGGCTTTGGCTGTGCCAAAATATTTGGTGCTTCCTGCTGCAGAGAGAGAACGGAGGTTAGAAACGGGTCCATGGCAGATGCCCACCCACTGTCTGGAGGCAGTGCCGGGGACACACGCTCTCAGGAGGGTGACTCCGGGATGAAGGCTCCTCAGTGCTCCTTTGTGCAGAGTATTAGGTGCCCTGTACCTTGAGGGGACACCACTGTGCTCCCAGCATCATCCTCTCAGCCCAAGCAACAGCCAAACTTAGGAAATAAGACCGTTTTCGAATTTTTCATGACTCATATATATTTACAGGAAAAGGAACAAGGAGGGAAGCATGAAAAAGTCATCATAGGCTATTAGTTTTAATTGCGCTTGTTTTTTTTTTGAGACAGAGTCTTGCTCTGTTGCCCCCAAGTGATAACAATAATTATCACTCGAGCCTAGGAACTTGAGGCTGCAGTGAGCTATGATTGTGCCACTGCACTCCAGCCTGGGAGACAGAGCAAGATCCTGTCTCAAAAAAAAAAGGTGCAGGGGGAGTCCCCTTCTGGTTCCCGGGATCCTCGTCTTCCCTGCCCCGCCTTCCATTCAAGCCAATAAATATGCAAACCACTCAAGAGCAAAGCGGCAGACAGGAGCGGGAAGGAGTTCCTGCCGCTGCACAGATGTGATCTCTGTGTGCCCACTGGAAGGGATGTCCATGGCATCCCCAAACCTTCCCTCCACGATGGGAAGGGGCTGGGGCTGCAAGCTCCAGCCTCAGAGCTCCCACCTGGTGGCTTGCTGATGGCTCTCCTCTCAGGCTCCTTGAAGGGGAACTGCAAGGTGGTGTCCAGCGACTTGAAGCAATCCTTTAGGGAGTTCTGCTGGTAAAACTCCACCAGCTCCTAGAAGGGAGACAACAAGACAGATGCTATCCCAGCTATGGCAGCCCACGAGAGGGCAGAGCTGGGAGGGGCCATATCCAACTCCTCCCAAGAAACAGGCTTCTGGTCTCCCTGGGAAGTGACTCCTTGAATGCTCCCCCTGATAGGGGAGCT